CCCACCAATACAAAAGCTAGGAATGTCACCATGTAGACTATGAGAATAATACCAGAGATGTCCCTGCTTTGCTGCAACCCACCTGTCTGTTGTTTTCACCAAGTTTCACAAATGTTTACCTTTATTTGTTACTGTAACAACTTCTGAAGATGTTCGCACACTAGAGATAGACTTTGAGGTATTCTGAATCCATGTCCCCATATTTAGTTCCAGAATAAACTGTTGCTTATTTCCTTTGAGGTGAGTGAAATGCTTTTGCGTTGACATAACATCTTACTTTAAACCAGGCAGTCATGGTGTGCGCCTTTAATCCCAGGACACAGGAGGCAGAGGCACGAGGATCTCTGTGAGTTTGAGGCCAGCCTGGTCTACAAGAGCTAGTTCCAGGACAGCTCGGGTTGTTACATAGAAAAACAAAAACAAAACCCAAATAAAAATAAAAACAAACAAAACAAAAAACCAATAAACATTTCCCTTTTAGAATTGTGATGCTAGGGTTGTTTGTTTGCTTGATTTGCTCTTTTGGAGGTATACCCTGTATGAGTCAAAAACTGGAGGGAAAAGGCTGCTAATAATTATTTCAACAAGACTGTGTGTGACAAAAAGTGGTCTTTCTCATCTTAACCAGCAATAACTTTAAGAGAATCTTGTGCTCCATAAAACCTTCTCAATGATCCATTAATTTCTGCAGTTTGGAGAGATTTACATTCATCATAAAATCAAAGAATACTGTAACTTTATTTCCTGAATGGCAGAGTGATGTTCTTATCACTATTTCCTCAAATATGCAATTGATTGTTTAATTTTGTTTCTTCAAATAAGTTAGGATTTTGTATTTTGAAGCTTTATGTTGGACATGTTTGCAGAAATGACTTTTGTGCATCTTCACAGGCATCCACAGAAGCCTCTGCCCCTCTGTCTCCTGTTCTATGTTCTAAATGGTTTCTGGGTCAGTGATGGGGAAATGGTTAAATTTAAGTGATAGTCATAATTGTTTTAAGTAATCTTGGATGCTGCAGAATCTCTATGAATCTTCAGGGGTACAAAGTTCATTGTGTGCCACTTACTTGTAACTTAGCCCGTGCTCTGGGTGCTCCAGGCAATTACTGAAGAAGCAGAGCTGAACAGAGCCATCTGGCAAGGCTCCATCCAGGCAAAAACTCTCCTTTCCATCAACCTTAGATACTATTTCTCTGTCCCTAACAAGATGAAAGTTGGACCACACTTTGTCAAAGGCGATAAACAAGGGGCTTATTTGTAGTGTTAAAATGGAACCTTGATTGATAATTTGAGCTAAAATTAAATTTGGAATGACTTTTTATAAGATTTTCTTCATATGTTAGTGTTCCCTCCACAAACAGTAATAGCATCACTAGCAAAGATATGATGATGATGTGTGTGTATGGCGTGTGTGTGTGTGTGTGTGTGTGTGTGTGTGAAGAAAAGAGGAAGAAGAAAAAATGTGTTTATTATAGATATAAAGGTAGTATATTAGTTTTATGTTAACTTGTCACAAGCTAGAGTCCTTTGGAAAGAGGGACTCTAAGTTGAGAAAAAGGCTCCATGATATTGGCCTAAAGGCAACTCTGTGGAACATTTTTGGGGGAATATTGGTTGATATGGGAGGGCCCAGCTCACTATGGGCGGTGCCATCCCTGGGTTGGTGGTCCTGGGGCCTAGAAAAATCAGGCTGAGTGAACTGTGTGGAGAAAACCAGGAAGCAGATTTCCTCTGTAGCCTCTACATCAGTCTCTGCTTCCAAGCCTATCACTTCCTCTAACAAATCCCAGAGCTGCCCCTTCAAAATTAGGCATAATTTCTAGATCACTAGTTTTTTTTTTTTGTATGTTTTTCTTTCTAACCCAGATCTCTGTAAGGGCACTTTGAAAAACTGCTCTTCAAAATCTACCCTTGAAGAGTTGTTTTTGGTTATCACCTCACTGACTCTGAACAGTCGCTTACCATCCTTGGCTTTAATTATCTTTGAGCGGAGGGAGGAGAGATCCTAAAGTATTTCAAGACGGTTCTCTCTGGAGCTCCCAGTGAACATATGAGGCTGCCCACAGACCGCTGTAAGTTAAACACAGGGCCTCAGGTAACACAACGTGGGGTGTGTCTTCCTCTAAATCCACAGCCTGTCCCTGATGTCTGCCTTGCCCACCGCAGAGTGTCCGCTCATTCACTCCTCCACTATCTCACACTTTGGTTCCTGGAGATCCCATCCAGGGCATTTTTCACTGCCTCCTGCTTCCCACGCTGAGAGTCAGACCCTCCAACCTTGGTCCTCTACCAGCTCCCTCCGCCTGTGACAGATTTCGTCTGCTCACATCTGCTTTCGAATTCTCCTGTTAAGAGCCTGAAGTCAAGTTTCCAGAACCCTGGCACTCTGTAGGGCATCCCCTCCTCCTGGCCTTTTCATCTTCAGCAGCTCCCTACCCAGAATTTCATGTTTTGATCGTGAGGTTTGGCTGGCGGCTTTTCCTAGGTGCATGCTACATTACCAAGTCTTTCTGGTTAACTCCACTTCCTCTCCATGCTTAGATCAATCAAGGTCTTCTCCAGGCAGCTGCTCTCTCCGTGAAGTCAGAGGGAGAAGCCTCCAATTGCTGGATAGTGGCGCCCCCTTGTGTCCTCTTCTGTCACAAACTCTCCTGACCATTGTTTTCTATTAGGAACTGTTTCAGGAAATGGAGACCGTGGTTGTGTTTGTGAAGTAAATGATAAAGAAAAGGAATTAGTGAACTAGTGTAAGTGGAGGTATTTTTATTTATTCTGACGCCTGAGAAACATAATCATTTGGGTGTAATTTTTGAAAAAAAAACTTAATTAAGTAAAAAACAAGAACAAAGTACTTCATTCATTAGACTATGGGACTCCATAAGTATAAATCCCATGGAAGAGGCTTAAAAGTAGATTAGTGTTTGGCAGCCCTTTAGCGATATCTTTGAGCCGATTTTGCCTGTCTACAAGGTCTGTGTCCTTTAAACGCTTGCTGGCTTCTGTTTGCTCATATATCTGATATTACTAAAATGAGGAACACCCTGCCCACCAACACACATATGCGCGCATGGGCGCGCACATACATACACACACACACACACACACACACACACACACCACTCACTGGGTGTCTGTGACTCATTTATCAAGCCCATTTATGAAGCGTTCAGTATAGTGGCCTCTAAAAACCGATGGGGACTTCTGACAGTGTGAGCTGCACAGGTCAGCTGCAGAAGACACCCCTCTAAGCTGGTCATAGGACATCCCTCAGGCAGAGACAGGCAGCGGGAGGCTCCCTGAGAAAGGGGCAAAGAGAGTGAAACAATGGGGAACAATCCTTGTGTGCAGGTGTTTCTGAGCTGTGAAGGGTTACTGTGAAGGAGGGATACATTAAAACATGCTTGTGAACATGCCTTCAGCTTACATTTCAAGCACAGAAGGAAAGAGGGAGAGAGGGAAAAAGGGACTGAGGGAGAGAAGGAGGGAGAGAGAGAATCTGAGGGATTGGCTTCCTTCAGAGTAATTGGGTTAAAGATTTTATTTTACTGACTTTGTAATGAGGTCACAGATAAATGTCGACTCCTCAATTGGAAAGGCATTGACATACAACTTCAATATCAAAGTCTGAGAATGTACTCCATGTGTGTTGTCTGTTGCTCTAAGCGTATTTTGCATACACAGAGCACCAGAGGGCTTTGCTCCATAGTGCAGGAAGGTAAGGAATGCTCATGCCTTTCTTTTATGTTTATTTGCTTACTTATTTGCTGTGGATGTTCATGTGTGCGTGTACCATTGGAGGGCAGAGGACAATCTTTACTACTAGTCTCTAGGCGCTGGCCATCTGAGTTTTTGAGACAAGACCTCTCCCTAACCTGGAACATGTTCATTTATCCAGGCTAGATGGCCAGGGAGCCCCAAAGATTCATCTAACTCCATTTCAGCACTAAGATTATAAGAAATCTCATGTGTGGAGCAGAAAGAGCCCATGTTTACAGTCTGTTGAAGGAGAATTTCTGTGCTGCAAAGGGTTACAGCATTCCCAAGGACTAGACACACTGAGAGGGGGGCGCAAGAGGTGACTCTTTTCAGCTTACTTAGATATTCATTAGTAGATCTTTGCTTATCTGAATCATCATACTTAAGAGTTCTGTATTAGGGAATGTGTGATTTAACCTCTTTTTACCACTCTCTCCATTTGTCAAAGGGAGAAGAACACAGCACCCACTGCATAGGGTTGTAGACAGGGTTAAATGAAGCTTGTCAAATGCCTGAGAAACCTCCAGTGGCTATGAAGCACTAATGTTCACTAACATTAAAGCTATCCTTGAATGTTAATCATGGCTGTTTCTACCTAATATATTTGACTCCATGCTCCACTAAGAGGAAATGACACTTTGCATAGATGGGCTTGCTTATAACTGTCAACAATTTTAATCAAGTTTTTCTTCAAAGTTCCTATATTAGAAATGGAATATAATTATCCAAGTCACAATCTACTGTGTGACTTTGGAGTAGATAGAAGAAAACACAACATATTTATGTCCTTATACACAGAGTGTCTGCCAAATACAGCATCTGAGGGTTTTTTTTTCCTTCCTGGTGCAGAACATCATAGTCAACTTTTGTATCTGGGTCGTGGATCAATAGCAAATCACAAAAACATAGACAGAACATAACAAATGTCTCTTTTTGCTATCCAGGCAACATAACTACAGTAGAGTGAGGAACTGACTGGTGATTCTCCCTACTCTACCAGATGAAGACATACAGACAAAGGATATTTCTTAGGCCTTTAACCTACATATGCATCTGACCTGCTGCTGTGGGACAGGAAACCCCAGAACTGCTCAGAACTGGAATAGATCATGACCCACCCTGGGGAATCCACGGACCCTGCATTTCTCTGAGGCACTGGGACAGCCCCACCCTCCTGCTTGTGACCTGAGACTTCAGCTCACAGACTACTTCCTGCCTCTTTCTGAAGCACCCTGACAGTTGGGATGTTGCTCCTGAGTGCGTTCACCTTCTCCTGCCTCTGGGTGTGTAAGTAGACATTTCCACATGCAAGGGGCAATGAAGTCCTCCTCATTTCTGTTTCTTCAAATGCCGCTTCCTTTGCTCATGAGAATTTGCTCTTTGCTTGCAGTTGGACTTGGCCAGTTGGAGCAACCTGAAATGTCAGTGACCAAAGCCATAGGCGAGAGTGCCCAAATAGCCTGTAAAATCCCTCCAGACCATAGCGACACAGATATACATTGGTACCGGCAGAGAGAAAATCAACAGTTTGACTATCTAATAAATGTCAGGCAAAACTATAATCAACGTCCCTTAGATGGGATAAACAAGAAAATTGAAGTAAGTAAAGATCGTCAAACTTCTACTTCAACCTTGAAAGTAAATTTTCTGAAGAAAGAAGATGAAGCCTTTTACTACTGTGCCATCTGGACTTAGCACAACATTAGAGCTTCCAGAACAGCCTGCATAAGAACTGTCTCCCAGCTGTGCCAACCCACATCCTTCTCAGCAAGCACAGAAGCTTGCCACTTGATGCTCAGTTGAGAGGCCTGAGCCTTTCCTCGCAGTGCCCCGGGGCTTCCAGGCAACATTTCGGGTTCTATTTCTCCAGTGAGGTTTTGGGGACAGGATGGCCCCACACTGTTTCCTACTCAGTTAGGGTGTCTGAGAGCTATTCAAATACAGGAAGGAGAGCTTGCAGCATGATCTGGTCTTTTGTTAATTCATTGCACAGAGGTTTGCTGCAAGTGAATGATTTAGAATTAAGTCAGGAGAGGGCAAAATATAAGGAGAGACCTGCATCCCACAGGGATATTTCCCTTTATGGTTTCCTAGATCCTTTGCAAGCACTGGAGATTTTCAGAAACTGAGAGGTCTGTCTTTAATTACAATCTATAGTTTATAGTGCAGAAAGCTAGTGGCCATTACATCTGAAAGTAAGTAATCAGTTTACAGGGGTATATTAGAGACCAAGTACAATGCTCGGGAAGTGGTTTAATGTGACAAAGCTTGGTCCACAGCCTTGGAATCACAGCTGAATCAAAGCAAGCTCTACCCCTATACTTCATTTGTCTGCTAAGAAAATAATGAAAAGAAAAAGCAATAGCATCAAGAAATGCAGTAGGTCACAGAGCAAAATAAAAAAAAAAACAGCATGCTATAGTTGGTGGATTGGTTAGAAAGGAAGGGATTAGGATGAAGCAGATAATTGAATGGGTTGGTTAGTGTGACCACAATGTGTTATATACATGTATGAAAGTCTCAAACAATAAATTAACAAAAAAAGAGTACTACATCTTCTTGCATCTCAGAAAGCAACAATATAGAAAACAATAGTTGATAATTAATGTTTATTCTGAGTTTAGTAGTGGGATCATTGAGTACTTCCAAGGAACAAACACTAAAAGTATAAAAGTAAAAATTCCTCTCCCACGCCCTTGAAATCTACTTTCTATAGACTGAAGTTCCAAGGGGGAAAGTGCCTAGAATCTCCATCATGGTGGTGAGAATTGAAATGTTGTAGTTTTGAGGTCAAATTATCCTGGACTATCATTAACTACTTAACAATTGTTAATTGTCCTTGATAGTGTCTGAACAAGTATCTTTGTAACTAACAGATAAATCTTTCTGGAATATGTTGGCAGATCACTAGCTACCACTAACTCATGCCATAAGATATTATCTGATGTCTATGGTAGAGATTTATGTGGTGATATTTTATTTGTATTTTAATAAGTAAAGCTTTCCTGAAGTTCAGAGAGTAAAACAGCTGCACCAATCAGCCTTTCTGATTAGGCAGTGGTGTCACACACTTTTAATCCCAGTAGCCACACTAGTTTGCCATAGAAACCGGGTGGTAGTGGTTCATTCCTTTAATCCCAACCCTGGAGAAGAATATAAAACGGGAGGAGACAGCTCTCAGACACAGTCTCATTCTGAGATTCCTGGAGGCCGGATCACCATTTCGGACTGAGGTAGAGGTAAGAGCCAGTGGGTAGCTGATTGTTTTGCTTTTCTGACCTTCAGGTTGAACCCCAATTTCTGTCTCTGGGTTTTTACTAATCGTACTACAGATTTCCCCACTTTGCTATAACCCACCTGCTTAATATTTTCACCAAAGTATTTGAAAAGTGCCTTGGTTGATGACTTTGTTTTGTTCCATTACCACAAAAATTTCATTAAACTGTCCCATGTTGGAACACAGCATTTGTGATCATCTCAACCCATGTTCCTGCGCAATGATCACTTATAGTTCCCTCTGAAATACTTCATCTTTTATTCCCATTGAAGTGAGAGCTATGTTTCACAAAGATACTTCAAAGAATTAATGGGGGAAAATTCTGATCTCAGAAAGTATCCTCAGGTAGGTGCTGTACTAATCACAACATTTGGAAGGTCAAGGAAAGAATGGCATGGTATTGAGGACAGCAACATAGTAAGATACTTAGTTCAGAGGGGAGGAGGGCAGGGAAGTGCAAGGCGGAAGAGAGTTTTTGATATTATTGGTGTAATTAGCATTAATAATAGATGTACTTACAATTTGGGCCTCTCCATGGTTTTGGTAAAGTTTTGGTAAAGTTGATAAAGATACATCTGCATCCTTGGCTTGTAATTCTCCTCCATCTTCTATACATCTTTAGGCTTGTTCTTTTCTGCATGTCCCAAAGGCCTCGCATGTTGCATTCTTATGGCTAAGATTCATTGTTTTATTTGACCTAATGATCCAATTCTTTCACCTTGCCTCCAAGTGCTGATATTCTGTTCTCCACATGATCATGCATTGTTGACACTTTCCATTCTGCTTTTCACAATGTGACCGACTGAATTCCACACTTCCAGCATCATTTCTGATTGAATTTTCTTCCCTATCTCTCTCACTTTTGTCAGTTGTATTTTCAGGTTCTCAATTGTCTTCATTAGTTTTTGTTTTGTTTTTTTTCCTGAGACAGGGTTTACCTGTAGCTTTGAAGCCTGTCCTGGAACTAGCTCTTGTAGACCAGGCTGGCCTCGAACTCACAGAGATCTTCCTGCCTCTGCCTCCCGAGTGCTGGGATTAAAAGAGTGCATCACCACCGCCTGCCTTCCTCTTCATTATTTTATTCAGCTATTTGTTTGAATCTCTTAGAATTCATCCAGGACTTTTTTTTTTCGAGTCTGGGTTTCTCTGTGGTTTTGGAGCCTGTCCTGGAACTAGCTCTTGTAGACCAGGCTGGTCTTGAACTCACAGAGATCCGCCTGCCTCTGTCTCCCAAGTGTTGGGATTAAAGGCGTGCGCCACCATCGCCCGGCTCAGGACTTTTTTTTTTTTTTTTAAATTCTCTACGTAGCTCTGGTTGTCCCGGAACTTGCTTTGCAGACCAGACTGGCCTTGAACTCAAAAGATCCACCTGCCTCTGCCTAACAAGTATTGGGATTAAAGGCATGTGCCACCATGTGTAGCTCAGGAGTTTATTCTTTTTTTAAATTTAAATGATTTTACTTTATTTTATATTCCATCCATAGTTCTCCCCCTGCCCTCCTCCCTCCTCCTTCCCATCTTCCCCCAAGTCCACCACCTAGCCATTCCTAGCAATGGGTAAGGGCTCCCATGGGAAGTCAACAAGCACAGTTAGTTGGGGCAGGACCAAGCCCCTCCCCCCTGCATTAAAGTTGAGCATAGCACCCAACTGTAGGGAATGAACTCCAATAAGCTAGCTCATGCACCAGGGATAGATCCTGGTCCTATTGCCAGGTGCTTCACAGATAGTCCAAGTTTCACCACTCTCTCCCACATATGGAGGGTCTGGTTCAGTCCCATGGAGGCTCCACAGCTGTAGGTCTAGAGTTCATGAGTTTTCACGAGATTGGTTCAGCTGTCAATCTTGGGGCAGTCTAGCTGAAGAAGGCTTGCTCTTGTGGCTGAGGCAGGTGGAAGGGCAGGCTTTTGCCCTGGGGCCTTGGGCCTAGAGACTGGGCTGTCCAGCTGAGAGGCTGGTCACCCACCTCTGGTCCACTCTGTGTAGTCAAGGGTATATTTTTATCCATTTGAGAGTTAATTCATATTAACTGAATTCTCAGAATGTATTTATAATTAAAAAACATTTTTCTGGAGTTTTGTGTAAATCATTCTCACTGGGAACTGCATATTTGGTAATTTTGGAGGAGACACAGTCTCGGCTTTTCCTATTCATCATGTTTTAACACTAGATTTGCTTACCTGGAGGTAATTTGCTGGTTCAGTTTTTGGTGTAAGTTTCTGGCCTGCCTTCACTGTGAGTGGGTGTTTAGATCTATGCTTGATATTCCCTTGGCTTCGTTGGTTTTATAACAGATGATGCTGAAGGTCAGCAATGGAGGCACTCCATACGGATTTATGAGTAAGGAAGCTGTACTGATGCCAGCACAGTTGGGAGGTACACTACCTCTGACCTCACCAGGTGGTGTTCTGCTTAAGCTGGCATGGAAATAATGGGATGCCATAGTTGTCAGGGGTGTTGTCTTTAGAATTTGGGGAGCAGACAATGTCTTCTGGTGGTGGGAGTTGGAGTACCAGAGATGAGTAGTGTGGTGTCCTACCTGAGGAATGGGCAGCTTTTCTGGAGGGTTCTGTACATGATGGTGTTGTTTGGGAAGACAAGAGTTGGCTAGGTATGTTCAATTTATCTTTATTTTCTTTTATTTCTTAGTGCTTACTAAATCAATCTTTGTTACATACACACTCCCTGACATTGTGTGACTTTGGTTAAATTACATATCTTTAATTAATTTTCCTAAATTTCAATGGAGAACAAAACAATATTAACCTTAATGAACTATTAAGAGGGCTCATCAAATAACACACATAAAGTTTTGTAATGCCCGTACTAATCCCTCATTCGACAATTGAGGCATTCGACTGATGTTCTGGATTGTTAGCACCATATTAGTGCAGGTAATTATTTAGAAAACTAAATATATGCGGCTGTCTAAAATACACAGGTTTGTTTTTAATGCACATTAAAATGGTACAAGGACATGTTATGTCATCTTTAAGTTGTTCATTTAATGGAAAAACTTAAAAGCAAAACAAAGTCTAAAGCAAATTTCTTTGGCTGGGTGGTCAGAAGTCTAAAGTTGAGATGGATGTAAATTCTCCTTGCAGCCTATCTCCCCAGTTCTAGCAGAGGTCCTGGGTTTGGCTCCCAGCACTCACACAAAGGCCCACAACTGACTGTAACTCCAGTTCCAGGGCATTCATGCCCTCTTCTGGCTTCTATTGGCACTGAGCATGCACGTGCTATGCAAAACATATATGCAGGCAAAATACTGACATGCGTAAAACTAAAATTTTAAACATTTACATTTAATACCATAATCACGACATAATTTCTTCTACAGTTTTGTCCTCCCATCTGCATTGGTGACTGTGAGTGGACTGTTCATGGATGGTTGTTCTGATTACCAACCTCCATCTTTAGGGACAGAGTTCATGTCTGCTCATGTAACTTAAACGTGGGCTGCTGGACCTGGAGATGACATGGTGGCCAGGTAGGCCTTTTAGGAGCTTCTCTTGTGCTCCAGGGGTTTCTAGCCATTCCTCTCCTCCAGAGGTGAGTTTCAGAAGATCACAGAACTGCCTTTAGGATTCCCCCAACAGAATTACAGAGCACTGGGTATTAATTTCCTCTTTCCAGTGTAAATAAAGGATTTATAATTTTATGGAAGATAGAATTGTATAATTTTATTTTCCTGTATGAGGGAGATCAAGAAATCATCAAAGAAACCATTTCCTAGTTGCCACCACCCTGATAATAAATCATGTTGGCAAGAGATCGTGTGACTTCCTCGAGTGTGGAAGGCTTGGCTCAGCATCCTCGGTTTGCTACATTTCCATTGCCATGGCTGGAGAGCTTTCTCCCTTAAGAAGTCCCCAAATTACTGAAGTCATAGCCTTGGTACTTCTGAGAATAGAGGCATATTTGATGAATTACCTTAGCAGTTTCAGCAATATTAAGCATCTGGGAGTCAATTCTCAGAATGTTTCCTGCTAACATAGGAAAGCTGTCAGTTTGTGGCATGGCCCAGCCTCCTTCTGCTTTTAGCCTTCCCATTGTTTGTTGGTACTTTCCAGTAACTGTTGCCTCAGAAGAGAGAACAGTTTGTGAGGTCAGTTCACACAGAAACTTAAAAACTCCTGGATAACAGAAAACTTTCCAAAGGAATCCAGGTCAACTTTGTAAGACAGAGTTTCTAAAAGACTCATCATACTGCGGCTCAAGAGATGGCTCATGTTTTTGTAGAAGGTCTGAGCAGTGTGACAGCTCAACATGGATCAAGAAATTTTCAAAAGGGACAAAGCTCATAGTAATTCCCTCAGGTAAGGAAGCTGCTTTACTGCTAACTTAGTAGTGAGTAACCAACGAGATTTTTCTCATTTTTAGAAATTGAAAAACAATTTATCAACCGTATCCGGCCACAACTTCGCAGTTATGAGTTATTGAAAATAGAAATAAAGCTACTTTGTAAGGAATTTCTTCTTTCTTTGTTGGCCAGCAAAATGCGATCCTGTATTTAAAATGCATACACATAAGTAGAAGTTAGAATTCTGTGAAGACTATTCACTAATATTGCTACTATATAAAGCTACTTTTCTATAGAAGGTATTTTAAGCAGTACTCCTCAAAGTGTAATTTGATTTGCTCAGAGACACAATCTGTCATACACCTATGTTGCCAACTGAACCTCAAGAATCAGGAACTTTAAAGTTGTTTTGTCTGTGTTGAGTCACTCTGGAGTTTTTAGCAGAAAATCTTCAGCCCAAGAACAACACTTGTCAGTGATTTTACTCTTTCCAGGGTTAGAGGGAAGAAAAAAGACAACCAAACCAGAAAATAGTAGGCGTACCAAGGAGAAATGAACATGATGGATATGGCCATAGAAATTTTACAAGAATTTTTGATACAAACAATTTTATTAAAGAATATGAACATTGTACAAATAACATAATAAGATTTAGCTTTATGTATGTGTGAACTATAAAATGCTCATACACAAACTATGTAATACTTACATGTAACAATCAAACGTATGTGACTATTAGTGAAAGCTTATTTGGACAAGTAGATAGTAAACCACATCGTATTGACAAATTCTAGGAGAAGCATAGAGTTTAAACTTGGATGCCAGAGATGAATCAAGTGTCTCTTAAATCAGATAAATTTATATTCAGACACATTTGAGAAACATATTCCTATTTTTTCTTAGTAATGCTTCAATTCTAGATGAAACAAAAAGTTAAAGTTTTTTCTAAAGCCAAATAGAACATGTAAGATTGTTAAAGAAGTTGTAGATTTGTCCCCAAATCTACAGTTCTAGACACTGTCAATCATTGGGAAGGGAAAGTTTAAAAACAGTCCGGCTCTCAAGCCTAGAGTAGTTTAGATGTAGAAATGAGATGCTGTGGGGTGACAGAGAAAGAGTAAGAGTGCAGAACTAGGCAGAGATGCACAGGGACAGGCAAGGGATCAACTCAGTGCATGTTATTGTACAATGGAGGAAACGGCCACTAAAACAGGCAACTTGCCTCGCGACATCTCATATGTGAGATCATACAAAAGAAGCACATTTGAGAGTCATCTAAGCGGAGGGTGGGTTAATTGAATTGCTAATGCATGGGTGAGTGATTTAGCCAGACAGTCTAAGGGACAGTGGGAGGGAAGCCTAGCCATTAGGGAGTGTAGATCCCAGTCCTCAGAGACATCATATAGTTATTCTCAATACTCCTTCATCCATCTTGAAAATGTGATCTAATCTGAAAAAACACAGGAGATGTAGCAAAGAATCCATGTTGGCTTGTGGAATAACAAAAGACATATTTCAATTAGGCCCCTCCAGTCAACAACTGACTTCTAGAAGACATGCAAAAAGCTCTACTAATCATGTATCTCTAAAATGAGGACAATAGTAAATCTCTGCAACCTAATGAAGGGTAAAAGTCTACAGTAGGTGCTAACTCAGTCATAATTTGTCTTCCTAGCACAGTGTTCCAGATTCTGCCAAATCCATGTAACAGTTGAATCTCCCTGGTAATTCTCTTTTTATATTTTATATTTTCCTACAGGCAAACGCTTCGATTCAGACATTTTCCCCAAGCCTACCATTTTTCTCCCTTCTGTTGCTGAAATGAATCTCCATAAGGCTGGGACATACCTTTGCCTCCTCGAGAAATTCTTCCCTGATGTTATAAGTGTATATTGGAGAGAAAAGGGTAGCGATAAGGTTCTGGAATCTCAAGAGGGAAATACCATGAAGACTAAAGATACATACATGAAGTTAAGTTGGCTGACTGTCGCTGAAGATTCAATGAATAAGGAGTATGGATGCATAGTCAAACATGAAAATAATAAGGGAGGAGTTGATCAAGAGATTCTCTTTCCTCCCATAGATAAAGGTATGTATACATTAACGTAAATGTGTTTCCAGAAAACATATGTAAAAGGGAATGATCCTTTTGTTATAATACGTATTGATAAAAAATGAATCTTTCTTAAATCTTACTACATATATTATAAACATAAAACCAGGCATGTCTCACAGAATGTTATAGGAAAAAATAGCAAAATGTTTGTTTTTAATTTACTCAGCCTCAGTTATACTATGTAAAATATGTAAATACTAAACAAAATATTTTTTAGAATTGATGCATGAATTAAATGAAACAACATATCTAACGGCATCTAGCCATTCAGGGCATGAAATGTTGAAATGCTGTTTCCACTTTTGCTGTCTGTACTTGATTCAGACACAAGAACAATATACACCTTTCAGAAATGTTCCACCATGTAAAATAAACAAAACTTCCAAATTCAATGTAAATGCACTAAATTTTGTCTTTAAGTTCATTTAGTTTTTAACTGACAAGATAGTGCTCATATAAAACATTTGTATTCAATAAAAAGTAGAACTATTTGGCCATTGAAGATTTATGGCAGTCCTGAGAGTTCTGATTTTTGCTTTACATGTCACTGTTGATAGCATTCCTAATTTAAGAGTGGATGAGGCTCACATATACAACACGTTTCTGTTTTCCATGGTGAGTTGTTCTCTTGCCATTTGGGTAAACAATTGCTCAGCCACCTGCATGCCAGCTCTGAGTGAGATGTGGATGAATAGGATGAGGTAGTGACCCAGTGGCTTCAGTGAAGAGCTCGTACTCTGTTTCACATCATTTAGAATTATGCATTTTTCAGGAGCCATGTCCTAGACACAGCTAGGCAGAAGAGTGAGTAGGCAAAGACAGGTAATGGGACAGTAGCTAGCTTTCCATATGGGTGTGTTCTTATCCTGAGTCTTGAAAGCATACTGAATGACCCAGAATGACAGAGAAGCAGAATCCATTATTTTTCCCATGTGGTGACAAAACCCTATTGATCTAGTAGAGAAATACACAAAGGACAACACATGGGGACATCTTTGCCATTCAGCCGTTACACGTTCTCACTAAGTCTTCATCCTCTGGAAGATTTTATTTCAGCAGCTGCCAGTGAAGTCTGTAAAGATGCCCACCTTTGCGTAGGGTTTTTATGAAGAGAAAACAAATTAGTGGCAATGAAGGAAGTTGTTGTTTGCCACAGCGTAGCAAATCATTACGAGAGAGTCCCCATGTTCAGTTTCCAGCTTAAAGAGATAAAGGCAAGACAAATATACAAACTGGAAGTTAGCATAGACATTATATTGGTTTAATTATGTTGGGACTTTTCTAGTGGTCAAGGAAAAATAAAGAAGGGTAAAACCATTGGTGATGAATGCATGCAGAGGAGAGGTTCCCATTATTATAATTTACTTACAATGGACTCTGAAATAAGTGTTTGCGGTTCATGCCTCATGCAGGAAAGAAATCAAGGCATTTTTTTTTGGTAATAGCTTTCAGCAAAGAACTTCTAATGCTGTCTCTGAGAAGACGTTTTGTTTTGTGTAGTTTGTCTTGATAAAAAAAAGATAATGACATGATTATCAAAGGACATGAAGCTGATCACTCTCCTTAGTCTGAGAGAGTTTAGAAACTCATAGATTATATTCTTATATTATTAGTAACCCTATTTATTCTTTCATACCTCAATAAGTTCATGCTGGTAGAGATTTTATTTATTTTTTAGATAATAAAGTTACTAAAAGGATAAAAAATAGATTTTTAGAGCCATTAAAGCAAATCTTGAAGACAGAAAACAAACATGACTGTATTTACATTTTTGCCAAACACACCCAAATCCATTTTAATGCACACAGAACTTGTTCTTCAGTAACATTCCACAGTAAAAGAAATCCACACCTATGAGAACACTTTTAGCAGAAAAATAAGCTTAAAGAACGGGTGTGTGCTTCTCTAATACTATTTAAAATAAGCAAGCACATTATTTTTGTTTTCTTTAAAAAAAAAACTCATAGGTACCCCTGTCTCAAGTTCCACAAAGGAAACTAGTAATATAACTTGGATTATCTGTTCATCCCCAGAAATAACTGCACTGGGACCTTCAGATATTATAGTAAAAAGAATTGAAATCTTAGCAGGTTTTCCTTTATCTCTTTTTCTTTTCTTTTCTTTCTTTCTTTCTTTTTTTTTTTTGACAGGGTCCTACTCTGTAGACATGGCTGGCCTGGAATTTACTGGATAGACCAGGCTTGATTTTTTTTTTTCTCACAGTTTACACATCAACACATCAAGTCAAGTATATGCAAGCCCACATGTCAACCAATATTTTGCTTATTTTTCTATTGAGCATGAATTTGTACATCCTCTCTTATGAAGCAGAAGCTTTTCTAGTACCTATGAGTACACAAGAAAAGTGGGTCTGGGAGGGAAGTTTTAGGAAGTTTTACATTGAGATTATGATAATGGTGCAATCTTCAATGTGTTCACATGTAGAAACATCTTATATGAATGTCACCCACAGAATTACATGCAGTGCAATTAATGTTTCTGGGATTGCAAGGCTCGTATTATAATGGATGTCTTTCTGTTGACATTATATTTAATATGCAAATGTGTACAAATAGGTATATGAATATATTCACACACATATATATTGTGAAGTCATAGCCATAGTTGACTAATGTTTGCTTTTTTCCCTTTAGTTGCCAACATCATTGATCCCACAGAAGCTTCTTTGAAAAGTGAAAATGGTAAGTTTATATTGTCTTCCTCTTAATCATCTAAACATTTGAATCCACCTTGCTTTCAGTAGAAAAACAGAACAACTGAATTTTGCTGAACAGACTGAGTGACATTTATAGAAATCAGTCATTCCCTTGACATCATATTAACGTAGCAAATTAACAAATGAGAGTTCAGTGAGATGCTCTGAACAACTACAAAGAAGACCCTAGTCCGTCCGTCCATCCGTCTGTCCGTCCATCTGTCCGTCCGTCCGTCCATCCATCCATCCTTCCATCCTTCCATCCTTCCATCCATTCAATCAACCACCCAACCACCCCACCATCCACCCACCCACCCATTCATCCATCTAACCATCCATCCGACCACACCACTACACACCCATTTGCTCATCATTTAATGACTGAAAAAACTGTGATATCAAGTTATTCTAGCATTGCTTATAAACATTGATAAATAAAACCAACACCTCAATTTCAATTCAGAAAACCAGACACTTAAAAAAACAAACTACACAGGCTTCTCTTGTCTATCCCCAGAATGTGGCTACAGAAATATGCACAGAAATGAAGAGAAAACAATGTATTCCTTATAGGATAATTCATTTTGGAGGATAATAAATTCAGGGCTTGAGGGCAAAGGGTTGCTCATCTAGAAAAAGATGAAGTGCCACGTATCAAAAGGCATTGTAGCTGTAGTCCATGACCTGCAATTACACACAATTCAGAACCCCCCTTTTTGTTAGTGTACAAACAATGGGTTTCATGACACCACTTTCTTTCTTTTTTTTTATTGAGAAAAAAAATTTCCGCCTCCTCCCAGCCTCCCACTCCTCACCCCCTCCCCCCACTCCTCTCCCCCTCCCCCCACTCCTCTCCCCCTCCCTCTCAAGTCTGAAGAGCAGTCAGGGTTCCCTGCCCTGTGGAAAGTCCAAAGTCCTCCCCCCTCCGTCCTGGTCTAGGAAGGTGAGCATCCAAACTGGCTAGGCTCCCACAAAGCCAGAACATGTAGTAGGATCAAAACCCAGTGCCATTGTCCTTGGCTTCTCAGCAGCCCTCATTGTCCGCCATATTCAGAGAGTCCGGTTTTATCCCATGCTTTTTCAGTCACAGTCCAGCTGGCCTTGGTGAGCTCCCAATAGATCAGCCCCACTGTCTCCGTGGGTGGGTGCACCCCTCTTGGTCCCGACTTCCTTGCTCATCTTCTCCCTCCTTCTGTTCCTCATTGGGACCTTGGGAGCTCAGTCCAGTGCTCCAGTGTGGGTCTCTGTCTCTATTTCCATCCATCCCCAGATGAAGGTTCTATGGTGATATGCAAAATATTCATCAGTATGGCTATAGGATAGGATCATTTCAGGTTCCCTATCTTCAGCTGCCCCAGGAACTAACTGGGGACCTCGCCTTGGGCACCTGGAAGCCCCTCTAGGTCCAAGTCTCTTCCCAACCCTAAGATGGCTCCCTTAATTAAGATATGTGCTTCCCTGCTCCCCTATCCAACCTTCCTTTATCCCAATCATCTCGTTGCCCCAAGTTCTCCCCATCCTACCCTTCTCACTTTTCTCTCCCCATTTCCCCTTACCCCCCTCCCACCCCACCCTTAAGATCCCGATTTTTTGCCTGGCAATCTTGTCTACTTCCCCTACCCAGGAGGATAGCTATATGTTTTTCTTTGGGTTCACCTTCTTATTTAGCTGCTTTAAGATATCAAATTATAGACTCACTGACCGTTATTTATGGCTAGAAACCAATTATGAGTGAGTACATCCCATGTTCATCTTTTTGGGTCTGGGTTACCTCACTCAAGATAGTATTTTCTATTTCCATCCATTTGCATGCAAAATTTGAGAAGTCATTGTTTTTTACCGCTGAGTAGTATGCATGTGTACTTTCACTTTGCTCCTCCTTGCCCCTGGTTACCATCACTAACCCTTCTTCTCCACTCTTGCTGGAATCCACAATTCCTCCTTCATATTTATGTATTCATAACCTCTACAACTCAGAGACATCATGCAGCATCTGTCCTTGTAAGTCAGTTTTGTTGTTTTACATGATAATCTCCGTGTCCTTTATTAACCCTCAGATGATAATTTCTTCCTTTCAAAATTATTTTTAATGCTTTTACCTGAAAGGGAATTGTATCTCACTTCCCATTTACCTTTCTTCCCTCCAGCACCTTCCAGTTATTCTCCCCCAATCTCCTCCAGTGCCCCAGACTTCAAAGTTGACAGCCTCTTTTGGAATATGTGTGTGTATGTGTGTGTGTGTGTGTGTATGCATGTGTGTGTCTGTGTGTGTGTGTGTGTCTGTGTCTGTGTGTATTTGCAAAAATATTTAAGTAGAACCTGTGGAATCCATTTTTATTGTTTGTGTGTTTTTGGTTTTAAAGCTGACCACTCTACATTGGACAATCAATAAGGAGTTTCATCCTGAGAGAGGCTTATTCTCCTTTCAGAAGTCAATAGCTTCCTGTAGTTCTTTGTGGGACCCCAAGTTTTCTCCCTTCTACATTAACATGTCCACTGATATTGTTGCTGTTTCCATCTTGTTTATGCAGCCCTTTCTGGGACAGATTGTTTCACAGAAGACTTCCTGGTATTGTGGCTACAGTCTGTCTTCTTCCTCTTGCGGGATGTCCCCTAGTCGTAGGTGCAGGAACTATGATGTTGATGTAAATGTATACATCAGGGCTGGGTTTTCACAGTTCATTCTCTGCACTGTGTCCAGCTGTCCTGTTTTGGTCTTCATTTGGTGAAAAAGGAAACTTCTTTGGTGAGGGGCAAGAGCTACACTTATTTGTAGGTATAATGTTTAGAAAAATTGTGCCGATCTAGTAAATTGGTGGTAGTAGATTCTTTTCCTAAGGTTTATGACTTCACTAGGCTGGGAAGCTGGCTAGTTTCCAGTACCAGCTAGAGTTCCACCTATAGAATTGGCCTTAACTCCAATTAGTAGTGAAATAGTGTATCACAGGTGTGGTGAAAAATAAGTTACGTAAGCCGGGCGGTGGTGGCGCACGCCTTTAATCCCAGCACTCGGGAGGCAGAGGAAGGTGGATCTCTGTGAGTTCGAGGCCAGCCTGGTCTACAAGAGCTAGTGCCAGGACAGGCTCCAAAGCTACAGAGAAACCCTGTCTCGGAAAAACTAAAAAAAAAAAAATTAGTTATGTACACTTCACTAACTTTGAAATTTTTGTGTACAAAAACAGGTGACAACTGTTTTCTATGGAATTTCAGAGTAACATCAATTATTCTGGGAATTGCAAGCTTTATATTTTTTAATATGGCTTCTCCAGTCTCTGCATCAATTAATGCAAACTGCATTTGTATTAATACACACACTTTCAAATAATAAGCATGAATAACTAGCACTTTAATTTCTTTTAGCTTTCACAATTATTAATCCCAGAGAAAGTGTTCTGAGACATGAAAATGGTAAGTTTTAATTTATTTTTGCCTTTGTCTCATGAGAAACTGTTTTTCTATGCTCTAGCATCTTGCCTTCTGGCCATCTTCAGATTAATGTTAAAAAGCAAACAAACAATTAAGCTAGACTGCCTGGCCAGTTAGCCTAAGGCAACTCTTCTTTCTTTGCCTATATAGTACAGTGACTACCAGAATGTACCCAAGTCTAACATTTTTACATGTGTTATGAGGATCAAACTTAGATTGTTATGTTTTCAAGACAAGCACAATGAATTTATTTCCCAAACAAAAAACTGTCATAAAGAAGTCATATAAGATTTTGACTATATCTTTAAAGCCTAATTCTTTCTTCCACATGGAGCCATTAAGAATTTAACTCATTGAAGTCCTACTGTGAAATTAAATACAATGAATGTGTATCATTTAATACATTGCCTGGTATAGCAATAATCACTCTACAAGTATGAGCTTTCATTATCACTTCTATATGATGAGATTAATCTCTCTCCCCCCACTCCCTCTCTCACACACACATTTTGTAAACTGAGACTGCTTTTTTGTTTCCCAGCCACCCAGACCCAAATAATCACCCAGAAACGATATTAATTACAACACTGTTTGGCCAATGACTCAAGAGTATTCCTAGTTCGCTCTTATATCTTAAATCAATCCATTTCTATTAACCTATATATCACCATGAGGCTGTGGCCGATCAGTAAGGGCCCGGTATCCTTCTCTTTTGGCAGCTACTTGGCGTCTGCCTAACTCCATCTTCTTTCTCTATCTCTGCTTTGATTATCTGCCTTGCTATATTCTGCCCTGCCATAGATCAAAGCAGCTTCTTCATTAACCAATGGTAATATAATATATTCATGGAATACACACACACACACACACAAACATGTCAAATAATAGCCATGGTAACTCACTAGAACTTTTTCTCATTTCTTCTAGTTAATAATTCTACTGATCTGGAAGCTTGCTTGGAAAGAAGAAAGGGTATGTCTTATTGTTTGCTTACCTTTATTTTATTAGAGAGAACATGACCTTAATCTTTGTAACTTTGAACTTCTCTGATTTAAAGAAAGTCATAATGACTGGAATTGCATGATAAACTGAGTGATAGTGTAATTTGACCCATTACTTCCTAGTCAACAACTGATCTTCATACAGTATGACTTTGATTAGAGGCTACAGACTCTTTAGGTTTTTTTTTTTCCTCCTAGTACTCATCACATTTCCTGCACTTACAGAGTTCATTTTAGACAAAAAGGCCCTTGATTTGGGTTTATGTGTATATGTTGCATACTTCATTTACTTTTCTCATACACTGTAATAGTTTCCTCCATTTTTCAGTTGTGTAAACAAACATGAAGTCCTCTGGACATGTCCCAATCCATATCTGGGGGGTGGGTTCCAACTCGGATCATCAAATGGCAATTTGATCATTACTCAGTTGTGTATTTTCCCTCTAATTCAGTGTAAGGAATTGCCTATGGTGCAATATCACATGAATTGGGAAGAACATAGATTTCAGACTGACACCTATCAGACTAGTGGTCCAGTCATTTTAACGATCAGTGTGCACAAATATGTATGAATGACTTCCACTGTGTAAGCAAAATTTTCTTCATGTGACAATGGAGAATAATACCTCAAATTCACAGTTATTTCAATGAGTGTCTAGATGTCACATGTCCAGCATAGTTATCATATTTAGTAAGCATAGTGAGTAGTAGTTTCTGGGTCCTTTATCCCTACATATGCACCAAAAGGAGACTCATATATTTATTATAGGGCTGACTGTTCATCCATATTCTCAAAGCCATGAGCTAGGAATCTGAGGTATCACATGAGGAATGGACCTGAACAAGGACAGAGTTTGCAATATTCAGTATTTGCGATCTCTTATGCAGAAAAAAAAAAAAACATGGCCTTGACTCACTAAGTGGTTACTGTGGTTTTCCAATTCCATCATTGTTTTAATTGATGACAACACATATTTCTTATAAAACTACAAAATATTTTGGTTCCAATTGCCCATTATAAACTAATGAGAGTCTTGAGAGAGACCGGTGAGAGTCTTGGGAAGTCTGGATTGACAAGTTCCTTCAGGCTTTTCTGAAGTCTAGAACCTCCCGTGTACCCTGCTGTGCTGCTTTTCCATGAACAGCGCCTCCTGAGAGCCCTGCAGGCAGTTTCTACAACGCTGCAGATGCTCTCTGCTCTGTATTCATGTTTATATTCTACTTCTGGGGTAACAGTTACACTTGGAGATGTAAGAGTTCTTTAAAGTCACTTCTGTGGACTAAGACTTGAGCTGTACTTCCTCAGTGCCTTTTAGGCAAACTACCTTCCTGTGCCCTCTGCAAATGGAAATGAAAATAATTCCTTCACCAATAGCTACCAACTTATTGAAAATATTAAAGTTTCATGGGCAAAGATGTCAGAATATTGTTTATAATTTGCTTTGTACACGATGGATATTATTTGCTTTATTTAGAAACACCGAAAGTGAAGAATTCTAAACGTATTCCCCATTTAACCTTCAAAAGGATCCATCTACCCCAAGTGCAATTTCTCTTTTCAGTAGTAGTAAGATTATAAGTGAACTTATCAGGGGTTGTTATCAATCTGACTTCCAAGATGAGTCCTCTTGCTGGTTCTGGTAAGAGTGCTAGATGTTGTCACTCAATTTAGGTCACCAGAAAAAAAAGTCCCCTATCTGTTCTATTCTGTCAAAAGAGCAGATGGGAACTAACTACAGGATTCTCTTAGATCAGCTGCAGCTTCAAGTTACCAATACCTTGGCATTCTACACCTACCTCAGCCTGTTCTCCAAGAGTGTGGTCCACTTGGCCTTCGTTATCTTCTATCTGTGTAGAAGAGCAGCAGTGCATCGTGATGGTCAAAGTTCATGATGGATGATGCAACAGGAGGGTCAAGTTTTTTGCATCCTTTTTCTGCCCTCGATGTCTTATGAGGGTCTAGCTGGATGTGCTTGCTGCTTTGAGCTCCTCAAGGTCACATATGAGGAATTTAGTATCCTTACTATACAGATGTTTTCAACAGAGAGGGAAATGATCAACTTTACAACAAATAGTAGCCCATGAGAGCACCCAGCCATCCTGACCCATCTTCTCTCAATGCCCAGTGGCCCCCACCCACCCAATAGCCCAGAGCATCACAAGCCCAATGTAGACAAACTGCAACTTTTAGTCAGCCCACTTCATGTCCTTCAACCAGATAATGCCCTAAAAGCTTCTACATCATATGCTCTGAAGAACCTTATTTGAACTTGAACTCTGTGCTTTGCTTGCTAAATACAATAAAAATCATGTCTACCTTTGATATGATGTGTGCATTTATTTGTGACAGTGACTGAAAGTTCAAGGTGCAAAGCAACAGGACAATCTAGTTATGACATGCAATGCTTGTTCATTACAAGGTCCAAAACTATATTCCTAAGTTTGTCCCTAAGATGGTGGCTGAGACAATATTCTGGAGCTATGGGTCCAAGGAGCTGCGGCCAAGTGGAGAAGCCCAAATGATTGTTCTCCCAGGGAAAACTAAGCCTGGCTCATTTGGCTTAAGCCATTCCCATGGAAACAGGAAAAGGTCTAGTAGGATGTGAGCAATGTGGTCAACTCTGTCCCTGTTTCACAGTATCATGCTTCCCAATCCTCACACTGTTCCCAGGACAGCGGCCCAAACTCCACAGCGGAGTTGGGGAAGTGAGGCAGAGATGGGTAGAAATTCTCCTACAGCCTATGCAGCTTATAAAAACTGCAGCTAGGTTTGAGCCCAGACTGCCTGGCTTTAGTAGCCCAACTATTTCCTTCTAAAGCATTTGGTTATAGAGCAGAAACAAGGTATTCCTCAGGAAAACCTTCCTCACCAGACTAGGAACTGCTCAAGGGAATTGTCTCTTGTAAGGAGGGAGGCAGCTTGTTGGTTCCCAGCTGATTAGCCTCAAAATAATTATGCAGAAACCAAATGATTTAAATCACTGCTTGGCCCATTAGCTCTAACTTCTTATTGGCTAACTCTTACATCTTAATTTAACCCATTTCCATTAATCTGTGTATGGCCATGTGACAGTGGCTTACTGGAAAGTTCCCAGAGTCTGTTTCTGGCTGTGGCTCCAGGACTTCTCCTTGACTCTGCCCTTCTTTCTCCCAGAATTCAGTTTAGTTTTCCCCGACTACCTCTGTTCCCCTATAGCTCTGCCATAGGCACAAAGCAGTTCCTTTATTCATTAATGGTAATCACAGCACACAGAGGGAAATCCCACATTTATTGTCTGTCTACCTTTGCTCTCCTGGTTTTATGTTGGTCTTAAAATTACAGAGCTGAAGCCCAGCCTGTCATTGGGTTGTCCAAGCAAGGCCAACTCCTACACAGACTTTCTTTCCACCAAACATGCTGCTGTATTGAATAGCTCATGTTGGGATAAAATAAATTCGGGAGCGGAAGTCTGCACCCATGTGCACTCAGTAGAAAATGAAGATCCATATAGTCCACACAAAGTCTGGTCTTAGTAGTAGCGTTTCTTGCAGAACTTCGAGTATTTTGTATATAATTATCCAGTGTCTAGCTCCCAGGGGCAGGCATTTAAGAACTAGCTGAATGTTCTACACCCACCTCACAGCTGGGAAAACCTGGCTGTCACGTGTCTTTATGTTTTTCTATACACACCATTGTGCACAGGAAAGCAGTACGCCAAATGCTTCTCAACTATAAATACAAGTATCTTAGAAACTCCATGTTCTAATTACAAATCAAAGTGAAAACTTTTAGGCAACACACCCCAGAACTTTCTCCAGTACTAAGGACTATCAGTTTGTATTTCTTTTTCTCACAAAGAAAATTCACAGTGAGGAAAGCCAAAAGCCAAGGGCAGAGTGGACCCCCAAGCCACAGAGAAAGCATGACTACAGCTGAGATACCATCTCCCAGTCTTAATAGACAAGGTAGACAGCGACTGAGAGTCAACACCTGCGGATGTCTCCATGTGGACATGCACACAGCTGCACATACGTGCAATCATAGACCAAGAGTCTTATACAAGTTCTCTAGTGACACTGAGAAGGTCCGCCTAGTCACCCTTCATAGACAGTCAGCCCACTCAGCTCTGGAGACCAGGTGTATGTGAACACCCACAAGAGGCCTGTCAGATTTGAGCTATGCTAACCTTCCCAGTAGAAAACAAGGTCTCACTGAGGCAACAATTGATTTTTTTTCTGAAGACAAACATCTCATCTGGTTGAGGTCTGTTTATGACCTGTTTATGGGTCTGTTACATGTATCTATTCAGGTCCTTTTCCCATTCTCTACCACACTACCATGCAGGAATACCAGCAGGCATGGCACCAGTTAGCCATACCTGCATTTCTGTAAGCAGAGCTACTAAACAAAATGTTCTCCATGCGGTAGCTGGATGAAAGCTCAGTGAGTATTCCACACCTTTTGTCATGGGCACGTGCAAAGTTAGCGCTTCTACATTTGAATTAAAATGCTATCTAACTTTCCTGTTGGAAAGACTGTTTACAATCAGCGTGAGTCTACAAAGCTGGTTCTGTTGGAAAGCACACAGAGCCACTGCACATTTGGAACAATACATGAACAAGATTCAGAGATTAGATTTAAATTACATTAACTCCTCGATGGAGGAAAAGACCTGCTCAGTCGTCCTCATCAACTTAGACCATGATACCCAATATGGACAAGTTCAACAGAACTGCCATATACGGGTTGCCCATGCATGCGTCAGCATTGCCAGGGCATAAATTGCATTTTGTTCAACTCCTTGACAGTCCTGAGTTGATCAGTCCTTTTCAGGCCGAGCTCCTGGGCCTGCTTTACAGGCATGGAACTGTATCTGCAGTGGAAGAGCAGATGCAGAGACCGGAAACTGACAATAGGAGGCAGTAGCTTTGTGAGACAGTACCTCCTGTGGTCTCAGACCTCCCAGCACCCTTCTTCCGGAGTCCACGTGGGCTCTCACGTCTCAGCTGTGCCAGGTGCAGGGGAGGGGGAACACTGGAGGTGGATGGTGTGCAGGCTGCTGCTCTGTGGCTGATGGCTTCATTTTCTCAGGCATCTTTGTCTACCTGCTTGGTCAATGTGGTTGCTTCCTGGAAAATGCTCAAAGTCAAACCCACCTACTCACTGACTGGGGCAACACAAAGGTTAGCTAGGGTGTTAGAAGAGAAAATACGGGCAGTTAAACCACAGCCAGTTCTGCTCGGTTTCAAAAGGCCATGGCTAGTGGAAAAAAAAAAAACAAACAAACAAAAAACAAAACTAGTCTCGCTATGTGGGAGATGGCTGGCTGTCAAACTAAAGAATTACAGTAGGGGCAGCAAGACTCCTGGGGTGCATAGGCAGCGCTCATTCACTTCGGTGCAATCTGATGCCCAGGACCATACAATAGGTCTCTGATCATCCCCTTGAATGCCAAGGAACACCGCCGGTTCTCGGTGGCTTCAACACCAGCTTAGCCTCCTGCTGTGGCACTGAGGCACTTCATTTATAGATACTGATGCTTTAGTTTATTTTAGTCAGAATATAGAAGGTGTAGCTGTGCATTCTGATTCTGGTTGATGAAGATGTGGGACACAGTAATGTGCTTTATGAACGAAAAAATGGAAGTCAACTCGGTGCTACTTAAAAAGTCATCTTCCCCAAGTGTGTGTGTGTGTGTGTGTATGTGTGCGCGCGTGCGTGGTGTGTGTGTGTGTGTGTGCAGACGCATGCATTTACCTGTGTGTGATATCAGAAGCTGATATCAAGACCAACTGTAGGATATCAGTATGCAGTAATGAGAGGTCAGAGAACAAACGGGATGAATGCATAGTGGACACGCAGGCCGCAAAGGAATCATGACTGCAGCTGAGATGCCCTCTCCAGGACCTCAGTGTCTGATCTCTTAGTCTCTGATTTCAATCACATACATATGCTGCCCACTGGTGTCTCATCAGTCAGCTTCTTCGCATGGCTGCACTGTTCCCAGGAGAGGACGGCCCACATCTACTGCTCCTGTCAGTACTCTAGGGGTGTTCTCCATACTGACTTATAGCTAGAAGCATATACTGCTCCACTCCTGACACAAGAAATTGTCGTCAAGTTTGTTCCATCAAATTCCTGAGGTCTTATCCCAAGAAGAGACCTAGAGCGTTCCTTCTACTATCCCTACCCCTGAGCACCCTTCTTCCTGCACCCCAGACTCCCTCCAGACTCCTTGGGGCACTGCTGAGGTGGGCATGCTCTCAGAACAGTGTACATCCAATCTGTTTCCAGCCAAGCTTCAGCATCACCGAGGCATTCAGTTAACTTTCCTAGGATGACACAGCCAATGATGGAGACTCACGGTCTGCCCCTCTGGGAAGTTGAAAGTAAAATTGGAAAAACAGCTGATAATGTAAATTAATTCATATTAAACGAAGCTAAGTAAAAATCCAGGAAAAGTGACAGCAAAGGCATCCATGCCCTTTGCCGGTAGCCGTGTACGTCGACTATCAGACCCCTAGCTCAGAACAAGATATTCCAGTAGGATCATACAGAACACAGGACAATGGCCTCACCTTTTTCCTCTCGTAACCCTACCACTCCTGGCCAAATATATAATAGAGATAAAACAAAACAGTCAATTTCGTATGTTGGATTTATTATTTTAAAACTGTATAAAGAGCACATGTGCATGAGTTTAAAAACACAAGTGAAATGTAAGGAGTTAAAAAAGAAATACAAAAGAAATCTGAGACATGAAACAAAAAAAATACATCGTGTGAATTGAAATAAAAAGGTATCTCACTTACTACAAAATCGTTATTTCGATATATTAAGCAGTCTTTTGATTCGGATGCAGCACAAGACTGAGTCATTCATTATCGGGTCAGACCGAGACTCACAGAAGAGAGCAGGCGCACAGCACGACCCAGCGGTGGCAGGCAGGGATGATGTGAGTGGAGGTGGAGCACTGTCCATGAGGTATCGCCATGAATAAATCCATTAGCTCATCACAAGAGCAGTGAGCAGATCGGCATTGCACTGTCAAGGGAACCCCATCTCCACCTGCTGTCCTTGGACTGCTTGCAGTGAGGGTTCTTCACACTTGGGAGAGAAAGGAGACAAATATTGAGCAGTGATGGGACCCAAGTGCTATGCTGCCTACCAGTTTCCTAAGTCTGTACTGAGGGTGACAGACACATAAAGAACAACAACATGACGACACAGGGCTTTAATGTAAAGGTTTCACAAAAGGCTGATTATTGCCTGTGTGTCCAGCTGCTCTGCTGTGCTGGGTGCTGACACTGACAGGGACACAGGGCTCGTCTG